GTCTCTGATTTACTGTTTGTGTGCAGTTTAAGTTTTAACCCGATCATTTATGGTTTCCGTGGCGCAAAATTTCAAGAATACTTTAAACGTATGCTGTGGTGCAGAAAGCCGATATCATAGAGAGAGATAAACTTTGAATGAAAGAACACCTCCTTTCAGTTGCTTTGTGTTAGTTTATTAATTTGATCTTTTTGGTAACGCTATGGTAGTGAATAGCCTGTCTGAGATCCGCGCCCTTTTTCACATTCAAGAAATCAGGCAAAGGGATCAATGTACATAGGCTAGGTATTGAACTAATAATAATTTCTTTCGCCAGAAAGTCGGACATTATTTTTCTGTAACCCGTAATATGGATCCAACTGATCAGTGTCCGCTTTATTCAAATTTACGTATAATTTGCCAGAGGAGGCTTTGTTATAAATGACAACAGTGCATGATTCAGACTGAACGCCCGGAAAGTAAATTAATAAGGTTTGGGCAGTAAGGAGAGACGCTTAAACAAAGGAAAGTTGATATTATGGGACAAAGATTGAACATTGGTTGAACATTTATAATTTTAATATACTTGCCACTACAGTCAAAATAGGGTCTCCTAAAGAGTGGTACATACTTTACTGGGGAGTATTTGCCTTTTCAATTTGTTCCTTGGGAAAATAATTCATTAGCCTAACTCCAGTTTGGTAAATAACATTTCTAACAAATGCAGCGCGCATTGATTGCAAATTTGATTGATGTACGGGTGACCGTTTTGCACGCAGTACTTCATAATTACGGAAGTTGTAGCCAGCATTGTGGACAATGATCTGGCATCTTATGTAACGTTAGTTAGGGTTTGCGAACTTGAGTATCCATTACTGTAGATAAACAAGAAAATATGATTGCACAAAATAGTGAAGTTTCATCAATTTTTCGCCCGTACTCCTTCAGCTAATAACCTTCTTCAAAAATGAAAATTCTTGTGAGGGGTCTTTAAAAGTAAATAAATAAATAAATTTGCATACAAATATGCAATTTACAAACAGATAAGCAAGTACACAATTATTAATTAAGTCAATTAATTAAAACACACAGAGGGATACAGTCATTCAAATAGTGTTTTTTTTTTAAGAGTCCAAGTTCGGCAGGGTGGCAATATCTTCGGGTAATTAGTTCCATTCCCTTATTGTGTGTGGAAAAAAACGAGTACTTCTGATACTTAGTTCTTGAATATGGCACAGCGTATGTGTTTGAATTCAGATGTATGCTATCCTGCCGCATTGGGATTGGCTGCTGCATTCCATCTGCTTCGACATGGCCATAATGAATCTTATACAACATGTACAGCCTCATTGCTCTCCTTCTGCTTTGAAGAGATTTCCATCCCAGCTCATCAAGTATTGCTCCTACACTAGCCATACGATCATAATTTCTAACTACAAAGTGGGAAGCAAGCCACTGTACCATTTCAATTTTCCGGATCTTTATATCCGTGTAAGGATCCCAGACTGTAGCTGCATATTTGAGTAGTGGTCGAACTAGCCAAACAAAGCTAAGGTCTTGATCTTAGGAGAATTCACCTGTAGATTTCGTCTGAGGAAAGCGAGAGTGCTATTTGCTTCCCCTGTAATGTTCTCAATATGACAGTTTCAACTGAGGTCTGATGAAAGCGTAACGCCTAGATCTTTTGAAGTGTCGACTAATTAGAGGGTTTGACCATAGAGGATACAGTCATGCAGGACAGGCCGACATTTCGGGCCACGGAGGACCTCGCATTTATCCCACATTTGCTGCCATTGTGCTTTTGCTTCTCAAGATCGTTTTGAAGAGGGCATGAGTCTAGCTCTGAGTCAGTGGTGAGATATGCAATGGTGTCATCTGCAAATAGTCTAACATTAGAAGACAGTAATTCATGAAGGTCATTTGTGTAAAGAACGAACTGGCATGAGCCTAAAACTAAGCCCTGTGGCACGCTGGAGAGCACTTCTACATCCTCCGAAAACACTCCATTTAGCAGAACACGTTGCTTCCTTTTTGTCAGGAGTGCCCTTATCCATGTAATGTCCTTTCCACGTACATGTATACCGTTTCTTATCAGTTGTGACGAGGTGCCGGTGACAGACCTTACCTAACGCTTAACGAAAATCCATTATTAAGATGTCAGTTTAGCGACCATCATGCATGTTGTTGACAAGATCTTGAACGGAGCCGAGCAACTGTGTCTCACAGGAACGTTTGTCTCTGAAGCCATGCTGTAGTCGCAAAAAAAATTTGGTGATGGTTCGCATGTTTCATATAGTGCTTGTTATTATGTGCTCCATCGGCTTACAAGCTATGCACGTGAGTGAGATAGGGCGGTAGTTGCTAGGATCACATTTCGAGCCTTTCTTGAATACTGGAGTTACATTAGCAACTTTCCAATCGTTAGGTACCGTAAAATTCCGAAAATAAGCCCCTCCAAATATAAGCCCCCCAAACCGGTAACGCAAAAAACCCTCCGTTAAATCGCCCCTCCAAATATAAGCCCCCCGGGGCTTGTACTTAGAAAATTGCCCTCAAATACAAAGTAAAACAAAGCCAAAACGGTAAATTTCCTTCCAACTCAAGGCTAGCCCAATCGATTTTGAAACGCAAATTTCCCTCCGTAGATAAGCCCCTCCAAAAATAAGCCCCTCCAAAATGGCCTTTGAAAAATATAAGCCCCGGGGCTTATTTTCGGAATTTTACGGTATCTCGCCGGTATCACATGATTTCCTAAAATTAGCAGTGAAGATATAGAGCGTTTTCACTCACATGACCAGCATCTATGCTAATTCATTGGAACAAAAGAACGTTTTTACATAAAAAAAAGTTCAAATCCCACAGGATTGGTTTGGAACACCAACATGGCCGCCGTTTCATTGTTTTGGAACACCAATATGGCCGCTGTGACGTCATGTGAAAACGCTCTATTAGCTACAAGATTGGCTAACTCCTTCTGATAAAAACTCTTGATGTGATTCCAACAGGGCCAGGATTATTTGTGTTCAAATTCAACAACAGCGTTTTAAGGCCCTCCTGTGTTATGTTGATCTCATTCATTACAGGGCCGGTACTTGAAATGAGGTGAAGATTGTGATTGTTGCTGTTGTGTGTTATCTCTTGTAAACAATGAGAAAAAATGCCTATTCAGTGCATTGGCTTTATCCTTGGGATCTGTTATGATTCGACTGTAATTTTAAAAGCTGCTGTACTCCCATGGTGTCATTTCTCTAATGTTTGATAAAGGACCAAAATCTCTTCAGTCCTGAATACTGACTAGCATCATCCTCCTCTGGGGTAATAATCGATTCAACATTTTTCCAATGTTCTCTCCTTGATTTTCTCTGAATCTTTTTCTTATTAGTAAAATCCAACTGAAGGTCTATTGTCAATGCTGCGTTCTGATTGGTTGAGCTACTACTAGACTATATGTTATAGCCCACTAGTAGCGAAAAGCGCCGGCTTTGAAAACCAAAACAATGGCGGCTGAATTGCGTTTTGCTGGCTAAAGTTGTTTTGTCTCGATATTTTTGACCAACTAGTTGGATTTTACTAAAACAATTCTTCCTCTCGCCCTCATGGCCTCTGAGTCAATAGCCCATTCGGCCCTCGGCGTCATGGGCTATTGACTCAGAGCCCATTCAAGATCGAGGAATAATTGTTAAATATCCTTCATTTTCAATTGAAGTTGGTGGAAACGGTTTTTGTCATTTTGTTCTCGAGCTCTCTTTCGCTTGGATGTCGAGGCGGGAAAAGGAAGGAGAGCTACGTCTCTGGAATTTGAATATCTGCATCGAAAAAGTCGATACGACATGCTGATTGGCGGAGATGACATTAGTATGTGACGTCATTACCCTTGGTGCGCGCGTTCACGTGTTTTTCAATGTTTGTTTATATTCGCGCTCTTTTCCGCTTCACGCTGATTGACCTGATTGGCGGAAATCTGACAGCTCAGTCGAGGGGGAGCCACAGGGGAATTGGAGGCGTAATTCAAATTCCAGAGACGTAGTTGCAAGCTCTCCTTCCTTTTGCCGCCCCTCCGCCAGAGCGCCTGGAGAGCTTGCTGGCAGGTTACGTATCATATGACTCTTGACACGAGTTACGTGCTATTTGTCACGCTTGTTCTTTCGTGACCTGGCATGTTAATCAGCGTGTTTGTTTACTTTGTACATTATAGTGTAGTTTTTAACTGTCTTAGTTAAATTGTTTAGCCGTGTTAGTAATTTTTAACTTCTTTGTTTTGTTTAAGCGCTTTTGCCCTGTCTTATTAACAGTGTTACTTGAAATATTATAGTTTTTGATCTTTCAAAAATCGTAGATGATTTAGATATAATACAAACCTTAAAGTATGAAATGCACAATATTGTTACAAGAATCTCAAGCAAAAAAAATGACGTTGCGATTAACTCAACTCTTTGTTATTTTCTGACTTATCTTTTGGACCGGTACCTATTAAACATTAGCGTGATATATACCCCTGTATCATCATGTCACACTTGCAGACTACATACCCACATTTTTCTTGCTATTTGTTCTACTCTGGTTTCCTTGTGGCTAATTCCATTATGATTTAGCTTAGTATGAAGTCTGCAAATGTCAGACGTCGTCCCTTAGTTAGGTGAAGCTTTAAGGTAAGCCACATTCAGTAATAGACTGTCCATTTTTACAAATTGTGAGAGTACGTATAGTCTGCTACACAGCTGTTTTACGAGTCATCACGCAACGCTTCTCCCCAAGGAGCGTTGCGTGACGACTCTAAAAACGGCCGTGTAGCAGGCTAGAGTACATATTGGTGGTCGTATTATGTATGTCATATACAAAGTCAAAACTCCCTTCAGCTAATAATGTAGTCTATATAAAGTTCAAATCTAAAGCTGAAATTTAGGAAAAGGTGCATATCATATTACTTGGCCAAAACACCTGCCTGTTCTAATTCTACATAGAAAAAAAGTATCTCAGCGAACAATAAAAACAAAAAACAAAAGCAAAAATATGACTTTTAGCTAGGCTGTGCAAACTTCATTATGCATTTGGAGATTTCTACATAAAATTACACTCTTGAACCCTTCTTTAAAGTTAGTGCTGCGAAAAACGTAGATAAAAGGGTTGCAACATAAACTTAAAACGAATACAAAATCAGCAACAAATGTAGGTTGAGCGTAAAGAGTAACTTCTGTTGTTCCATCTCCTGACGGAATGATCACGTAAGAAACTACAGTTGGTATAAAACCAATAGAAAAAGCAACGGTTACCAACATAAACGTGATTACAAGTTTCTTCTTCTCAGAATTCCTTTCTCCATCTGTGTCTGGACACACTGTGTTGGTAAAATAAAGTCCTCTTATCAAGGATCCATAGCAGTATATCATGATCGCCAGTAGAATAAAATATATAACTGCATCTAAAATCACACAAGCTTTGCTACCTTGATTTAAATACAGAGTCCAGGGACCAATACATGTCTCATAAGTTTCGCTCCATTCTTTAAAGAACGTTGCTGGGAGGCACACAACAACGCTTGCCACCCAAATGCAAGCGATCGCCTTCTTAATGTTGTCTTCTCTTAAGCGCAGTCCGTTTCTTAAAGGCTTCATTATTGCGTAATATCTTTCGACTGCTAGTACAGTCATGGTAATGCAGGAAACCATTATGCAGACTTGAACGAGCTCCATTAACTTGCAAAAGAATTTCCAGTATACAAAGAAATACAACGGCCACATCAAAATGGTAACAATATCGCTAACAGCCATGCTGACTAGGAGATAATTTGTGGGCGTGTGCATCTCGCGTGTTTTGTGAACAATTCGTATTACAAACACATTTCCGATGAATCCAATGAGAAGGAACAGGATGCTTGAATAAAATAAGGTATATTGAAGGTTATAGATCTCATCCATATTGCGTCTCTTTAAAAAGTAACGTTCTTGCTTTTGTCTTATTTGATGTCGTGTATTTTGAGTTTAAGGACAGCAATTCGCTTTGGCCGAAGAAAGCCTCTTGGGAAACTGTATGGAAAAGTCTAACTTGAATAATCCAACGCGAAAAAAGTTTTTGATAATTTATGGAGGTTAATTATTCTATACCCAACAAATTAATATATTTCAATATTTCACTCCATGTGCTGTTTTTCAGTTTTCGTTTTAGTCATAACAACCCTTAACTACATTCGTTTGTACATACAAAATGCTAGGCACTGCTGGGCGCAATGACAACTTCCATATACGCGTGATAGTTCTTAATAAACGCTAGTCCTGATAATTTTTTCCAATATCACCTGTTTATCGAGTTCATGTTACGAGAAACAACTTAATATTCTTAACTCGAAATGGCTATCGCTTTTCGAATAAACCTCTTCTTTGTAAATGTACCATACGGTTTGAATAATACACAGTTTCCCAACACGTTTTTATACTTTATTTTCGCAAAGCACAATCGCTAAGTTCAGTTTATTGTATGTAAGTATGTACACTGTACCACTCTTTTCTCCTCCTCCGCAACTTTGACTCTTGAATGCCGCACAGGCAAAGTCAGACTACTTTTCAATTGAACTAGAAGGCGGCGACGCCTTTCAAGTCAAAGTAAGATTATAAAACATTATGTTAACTAATTCCCATTGGTGAACACTTGCTTTGATGCTTCACTTTCTTCTTCTTAACTTGTAAAAAGAGAAGCTGTTTTTGAATAATTCTTGTCCCCTGATCTAATAATCATAAGAAAACTTCCACTCGCTTTTAAAAGTAAATAGGGCTTGTAATCTGTTGTTGCAAAAAGTCTGTATTCGTTAGTGGATACAGGCAATAGCAAAGTTGTTAGTGACAAAAATCTGCAATAGCACTGAGTGCTCACCCCCATCCCCTTCTGCCTCCCCCAACCCCCTCCCCTCCCCGCCACTCCTCCGCAGACGCTATTATGCTGCGATCATAAAACTAAGCCAATCAGAGCTCTAGAATTGCATTATCCAATGACTCAGTTTTTAATAAAAGCCATATGATGCCTTCCAAATGTGGTAACTGTGCGCGTCTGCTTAAAATTGAAAACAAGCTGAAAATAGCCGGTTGTTTTTATAAATAAAGCAGGGAAGAATCCTCTAATTTTGGGCGTTTTTAATAGAACAATTACTTCTCTCGCGGTTGTAGGATATGAGATGATTATAGCCAACTCATATCCAACGCGCGCTAGTGGAATAACCGTTAATTAAGTAACTTAAGAAAAAGGCTATATAACTTATGCAGGTTAATTGTTCTATAGATCGTTTTGACAGTGACGTCATCAAATTGTAAAGTCAAAACAGCGAGGTTTTACGAATTCTCATAATAAAGATAAACAAAAAGTAAATCTTTGTACAAGTTTCCATTCCCGTAGCATATTTCACTTCGAAAATACAGCAATTTGAACTTCCGAGTTTTCACAGCGCGTGACACCAAAATAGGAATGCTGTCTCGTTGAAAAAAAAAGTCATTCCTCTTGATGTTCGGCAGTATAACCATTTCAAGTGTTAGAAGATATGTTTATGCGCAAGTATGCTAGTTCTCAAGAGAAAAAAAAAAAGCTTTTATAGAAAAAGTGAACTCCAGATGTTTTTGTTGATTTCCAGGCGGCTATTTTGGTGCACCAAAACGATACACCAATATGGCATCTCCATACAAAGTTCTACAAAGGTGCGTGAAACGTTTCGGCAAAAAACTCAGAAACTGTGGGCCACAAAGATCTGAGACTTGGAAAAATTGTTTATATATTAGTCTTTTATAACATTTCATTTTCTTGGCTTCTTCCACTGGACGGTTTTCAATTTATTTTTTTGTTGCGTGACAGTGAAAACGATCTATACCCAACAAATGAATATATTTCAATATTACGCTTCATTTTCTGTCTTCATTGATTGACAACAACTCGTTTATAGATGCGACTGGCCGCAATAATTGAAAGAGTGTATCTCGGTGAGTTCCTCATAGGTTAGTCTTAATAATTTTTTTCGACAGCACCTGTTTATCGAGTTCCTGTTCCGAAAACAACTCGTTTTAAAATCCAAGGGGGATCTCGATTCTCGAATAAATGTCTTCTTTTTAAATGCAACTAGCAGTTAGAAAATTACACATTTCCTAACACTTTTTTCATTTTCTGTACGCATAGAGCAATGGCAAAGATCAATTCATTGTGTGTGTCTTCATACACTGTACCATTCTATTCTTCCTCCCCAAATTTAACTCTCGAATGCCGCCCACGAAGAGTAGCTGCCTTCCAACTAAACAAGTAACGGCGCCTTTTTTAAGTCAAGCGGCGGGTCGCGCTGTTCAAGTCTAATTAAGGAAGAATATAAAACACTATGTTTCAACCATTTCTCAAATTATTCTAATTCGTAATCACCTCCTTTAATTGTTTCTTTTCTTTTCCTCAATTGGTAAAATAGAAGGTGTTTTTGATAAATTCTGCTGGCAAAAGTAAATAAGGCTTATAAGCTGTTATTACAAGACGGCTCTGTTCATTAGCGAATACAGGCGATCGCAACGTTATAAGTGGTGGCAATTTTATAAGTCGTAATCGTTAGTTATATCTGTTATTCCAGTGAAGCCTCGCCCCAAAATTTTAACAGGCGGATAGAATTAGGACCACAATATTATTTCTTTATTATTTTTCGTAGTCATTTTTAACTTCTTTACTACTTCAAAACATTTCAGGCCGCGGGCCAAAACTTAAAATTACAGATACATAACTCTTAAAAAGCACTTTTACCACACGCAGATTTCCTTACGTTTTTTGGGAGGGATTTCAAATAGCTTTTTGCACATAACTAGAAAGAAAAGCAAAGCTGTCCTTAATAATTGGATGTGACTTGACAGTATTATGCAAGAACGGAAAAAAATATATTATATATTTTTTTAGAAAGAGAGCTAATCCGTTAGATGACGAAAATAGTAAGAGCAGTAATTAGTTATTCAGTTCAAAAGCATCGTTCTGTGTTGTAGGTTTCCAGCATAACAACATTCTTTTAAGCCCTTCTCGAAATTTTTTACCACGAAATCCATAAATGATAGGGTTTAGACTAAAACTGGACACGAAAAAAAATTCGCTACGTCTAGAAAGTCTTCGGTTCTATCTTTTTCTGTTAATAGAAATGCCCAAAAATACGACAGCCAGGGACCGATACATGAAGATTTTGCCTCGCTCCACTCTTTTAGAATTCCGGGAAACATATAAGGAAACTTGCGATCCAAATACAAGCGATTGCCCGCTTGATGTTATCTTCCTTTAACCGCAGTCCTGTTTTAAATGGCTTCAGAATCGCGTGGTATCTTTCCACCGCCAGCACATTAAGGTTACTGGAGGAAACCATGATGCTGACTTCCGCAATTAATATTTAAAAGGCTGTAATTATTTTCATAACAGTGGCGTTGACGTTTGTCGTGAAAATTAGGAATAATCTGTAGAATGGTTAACACAAAAGTTATTATTGAGCGCTTGCTTAAAGATACAAGGAATATAATAAGCGGTGACCGCAATCAAAAATTTCAACTTTAAAACGGTGGTAAATAAGTCTATTAGCAAAAGCCAGGAAATGGGGATTTTTTCACAACAGACGAATTTAAAAAGGTTTAACCCTTTAAAGTTTAAGATCAAAATATGAATTCGCATTTGTTGCCCCTATTCATTTCCTACAGAAGTTGTGGGGAGAAATGATAAAATGTCAAGAAAATTCATCTTGGGTGATCATGTCCGTAATTCTCATAACCACTCTGTTTTACAAAGCATTGATATTACGGGGAGAAATTTGACGCTGATCACTCTTAGGGCTTAAAGGGTTAAAAGGGTATTGTAGCAGACTCTACCCCCTGATAAATACCTGGTACTAAGAGTTAGTGGAGTAAAATTGTGCTATAGGTTGTTTGTGTTATTTGGGCCCAAAGGTCATAATTATAGTACAACTAAGTCTGCTTTGTTCTGTAATTTTATCTATCCACTAGAAATAGTCCAGTCAATCTAGGCATTTTCGAGGCTCAACATCAAACTAATTGCAACAGAATTGTTTTCAACATTATTTAAGTAAGGGTGGCCTATCGATCAACATACTAAAACTCCGCCAAACTCCGTTCGGCGGAACGTGTTAAAATTAAGCGTTAAACATGTGGAGCTTTTAACACAGGGAACCCACGTTAGTTGAAATTATACGGTTAAACAAAAAATGCCCAAAATGTGATGGTTACTGTTATGGAAAAGTGAAAGAAGAAGGAAGAACTGCTACCTAGTTTTCGCCGATAAAAACGAGGTGTTTCTTTTTTCGAAAGGATAAATATTAAACGCGGTTGGCTTTTGCACAGGAAGTGCATGTTCCACTCAAGGAACCCCAAACAGCAAGAGGCTTTCAGAGTAATAGAGTGAACTGTTGGCTGTAAAACTACAACAAATTTAGTCGTAAGGCTTTAAATCTGAAAAAATGAAAGCCGTTACTTAATCATTAGCTTTTAAAAGATATCCTTTTTTTATCAGATTTCTGTTAGCCGCAAGGGTAAGAAAAATTTATATCAGAGCTGGATTTTTGAATAACGTTATAGCCAAAATAGAGCTCTCCCCTCAAACAGTTTTTTCTTTCAACAACTACCTCCAAAGAAGCCAACGTAAAAACTAAGAGTGGAGCCATTTTTTTTTTTCTCTCTTCTCCTCGTTTTTTTCTCCTCGCTCTTTCTATTTTTACTGTTCTTGTTCTTTTCTAGGAGAATTTTTGGGCTCATTTTTCCTTCGGCTTTTGGTCTTTTTCTCAGTGAAAAGACTGCAATTTTCGTTCGGTACGTTTTCAAAAACCTAGCAAGATAATGCTTTGGCTTTTACGGTTACCTATACATTAATTTTTGTTAACGTACCAACATCCTCGAATATACAAGTTTGACTTTTTCGAAGCTTTTCATTTTCTTCTTGTTAAAAGTGAATTGGAGAGGAGGGGAGGATAGTTTTACTAATTCTTTACGACGCACAACAATGCAGAGTTTTTGAACAGGTTAAGCTCCAATGCCTATGAATTTGATAAGAGGGAAATGCCTTTTCATTAAAGGAAAAGTGTTGTTACCTTCGCAAAGGTTAACGGAACATTCATCGCATAAGAACTTTGGTTCTAGCAAACGTTTGTTTCAAGAAAACGAAATAGTACAATAGGGAAGGTGGTTTGTAAGGCAAAGATTAACTCTGGGTAGCCAAAACAATGCGTATAAAAATATCTTGTAATAGACTCTAGAGTAATGGAAATTCCCCACGCAGAGCATAACTCACGCAACTCAGTCAGAGGGTTAACTTGCAGTAAGTTGAAGTGTTACACAACGCTCATCCGTAGAGAAATATAGGTTCCACAAAAAGAGGTGACACATCAGAAGCTAAGTCAGACAAGTCCATTAATGTCGTACATATGTCCAGTACTTTCGCGCCTTCATTGACCACTGCAATTATTTTCAGATGTTTAGGATCCCAAGATTGTTATAGAAAAAGAGGTCTTCATTTGCCAATGGACGAAAAAAACTGGTCGAGGTTCAGGGTTGTTCTCACACAAGAAATGCAAGGAGGCAATATAAATGCCTTTAGACCACAGAGCAATTAATCTTGTTCATCGATCTTACCAAGAAATGAAGAGCTGCCGAAGAAAATACAAATTAAACACACAGATACACGTAAACTAAATCTGGGCCTCGCTACAAGAAGAATATAAAAAAAATAATTACAGCGTTGGTTTTCTGGATTTCCTTTGGAACAGATTCGACCAGGTAAAATGAAAAGCGCAGAGCGTTATGATCTAACAAAAACCAAATAGACAGAGTCCTTAGCAGAATATTTATTCACTCACATTGTAAAGTACGGAGTCATAATCCTACAGGAGGTTGGGCATGTCGTGAAAAAAAAGAATCCCTGCTTTCGATCACACATATTGTGTCTAAGGTTTGAACATAATTACCTCACAAAACTCGATTACAGAAAATGGGAATAGGTTAAACAGTTTGTACCGATACAAAGCTTTCGTCCGTTGCACACATCTAGTTGCACGTATCTTGCAGCATGGATGCAAATTTAGTAGCTGACTGAAGGTGAACAAAATATCAAATCAAACTGTTCAGCATCAGTCAGCTACCAAAATTTGATTCCATTCTGCAGCCGAGGATATAAATAAAATTACAAGCCTGTAAAACTAAAAATACTTTCTGCATTTCTGATATTACGCAAAAAAAGCGATTATTTTTAACCATGTCAATACAGACTGACTAATAATTTCCGTTTTAAATACCGTCATAGGAAAAAAATTACAGCTTGAAAAAACAGAATGTGAACACAAACGAGTGACTGGGTAACCTGTGCAAAGCCGTCAAGACGAAACACTGACCCAGGTGTTTTTCACACATTTAGTCTGCGTTTTTAAACCAAAACTACCCAAAATACATTAGTGATGTTGTATCGAACATTCTTGAAGAAAAAAAAACAATTCTCATATGTTTTATCTGAATTTGTGATCTTCCTGAAATTGGTTGTCCTGTGGTGAAAGTTGAAAATCTTTATTGCCAATTTTTCTCATGTTTCACCGAACCGATTTTGGCGGATTTTTAGTATGTTGTTACATAGTCATCCAACAATTAAATGGCGTTGAAAAAAATTATGTTGCAATTAGTTTGATGCTAAACCACAATTTGACTGGACTAAAAGGGCTACGGAAACGCATGCATTGTTTTAATTTTGAAACAAAGCTGACTTGCCACCATTTTTCTCGGCGGAATTTCGTAGTGCGGTAACATTTTTCAAAGATTTGTTTAACTTGACTGCTTTAAAAACTGTCACGCAGGCATGTTCTTTATCAATTCATATTGCAATGCATTACCACTGCTACCCATGATTAACCAACTTCACTTCCTAATGTCTTTTTGTGACAGGCTTTTTTCGAATTAATAATAAGGAAAAAAAGTCATGTTGCACTTTTCTAAAGCATGCTAAAACTGGCTTTCCTTCGAGAGAGATTTTTATCGCTCTTGAGCAACGCAGACAAGATAATTTTCAATTCTGTATTTTAATCATTAGTCCGACAATAAAACAGTAATAACTGAATACACTGAAACACGCAGACATCTGAAGACGTTTACTTTCTTGTCTTGACAGAATTTAATTTATTAACGAATCTCATGGCAAGAGAATGTGATAACTAAACTTCATTTCTATCGCGATGGATTATTACTAATTATGACAGCGTGGTTTATTACAAGGTGCAATGGACATTTATTACGAGCTGCGACAGCTTTTTTTATTTCAAAGTGCGACAGAGTTTACTACAATTTGCGACGACTGGTATTATAAAGTGCGATGATTATTATTACAAATTGCGACAGTACACATTGCATGGTTACCTTATTTTGTAAATCATCTACAAATCATCTAGCCTTTTAGGAAATTTAGGAAGAAGTGCATCGGCTAGTTCTACTTTTTCACTGTGCCTACATCGCGCGTTTGTAAAAGCAAAATGTCAGTTAGTAATTCTGCATCGAAGAAATGGTATCTCAGCGATCTAGCAATTCAAAATATCACTTTTAGCTACGCTTTGCAACTTCATCATGCCTTTAGGGATTTCTACATAAAATTACTCGTTTGAACCCTTCTTTAAAATTAGTGCTGCGAAAAGCGTAGATAAAAGGGTTGAAACAAAAACTTACAACGAATACAAAATCAGCCACAGTCGTAAGTTGAGCGTAAAAACTAACGTCTGTTGTTCCATCTCCTGATGGAATGATCACGTAAGAAACTAGGGTTGGTGTATAACCCATAAAAAATCCAAAAGTTACCAACATGAACGTGATAACAAGTTTCTTCTTCTCAGATCTCCTTTCTCCATCTGTTGCACACACCTTGTTGGTGAAGTAAAGTCCCCTTATGAAGGATCCATAGCAGTATATCATGATCGACAGTTGAACAAACAATACAACTACATCTAAAATCAAAGAAGCTTTGCTAGCTTGATTTAAGTACCGAATGTAGGGATCAATACATGTCTTATAAGTTTCGCTCCATTCTTTAAGGATCGGTTGCTGGGAGGCATATATATATATATTACGCCTTCTTAATGTTGTCTTCGAATTCTCTTAAGTGCAGTCCGGTTCTATAATGCTGCAATAAGGCGTGATATTTTTCCACCGCTAATACAGTCATGGTAATGCAGGAAATCGTTATACAGGCCTGAATGATCTCAACTTATTTCGAAACGATTTTTCAAACTTCAAAGAAATAAAACAGACACAATGAAATGGTAATACAGTCGAACCTCGATTATCCAGACCTCGATTATCCCGATTTCTCGATTATCCGGACTTTTTCTCTGGTCCCAATTTGGTCTTGAATATTTATTAGCCACGATCAAGATCCGTAGCCATATCCTTTTTAAAACTACAGCATTGAAAAGTGCAGTCAAATGCGAGGACAAGAAACGGAATCCCCGCATAAAAAAGGGTAAATAGAAGATTAACATTTTCAGTCATACTTCAGGCAAGTAGTTCAATATGTCAAAGTTTAAGATTGTTGAACGCTAACAATCTTACTAACACATCAACATGAGCTTATATAACGTTTCCAGTTTCTTTGCGGGTAGATCATGATAGGTATTGATAGCCTTCGCAATTAATAAAGGCTGGTAATTATTTTCATAACAGGGCGATCCGAAAACACTTCGGAGGAAATTCGGCCGATTTCGCCTTGTATCTACGCGTGCTCGGGGTATCTTTGGATGAAGCAAATGACGTTGCTGCAAGGACTATCGTCAGCAAGGAGTAAAACAGTTTTGCGAGATTCGCATAGCCCGACAAGAAGCGCACTGAAAATCTAAGCAAAATTTATCTGAGAAGGCAGTCCAAATTCACCAAATCAGAACGTCTTTGCAGTATTAACGTTGACTCTCGTACTGACTTGAACGACCTGGTAAACTTAATTTTCACCAGTCTTTTAATGCGGTTGACCAAGAAACATTCCGACGCGATAAAACTTAAGCTTAACGCTTCTGGCCGGATAAATTTATACTGAGAAGAGTTTTTGTCTCATTGCTTATAACGCTTTTACGCAATCAACTTAAAAACTGGACCCAGAAATGTTATCGGTTTGAAATATAAGGATTAATTGATCTTTGAATGCAAGTGAAGTATTCCATTTTTTTCATGAATAATGCTGTTATGTTGTGCTTATTATATAAACCCAGCTTGATCAAGAACTTCGATCTGTTTTCAGTTTTGCCAGTCGATCCCGTGACATACATTATGATAAACAACTTTTTTGTTGTTAAAATCTGCTTTTATCGCCAGGCATGAAACCCATAACTTGAAGCTGCCCTGAGTTATATTTGGCTATTATGTGAATGTCATGATATGGTGCTGGAGCGAACATCAAAATCAGTCATGCTGGGCATGCCAGTTTCATGTCCGGCATGCAGGGCATGCCAAACCCAAATGACCCAAATGGCTTCACGATCGGCATGCCAGGCATGCCAAACTGAATGAGCAAAAACTGGGAATGAATCATCAGCCCAGCGAGAGATCTGAGACCGAAGTTTAGTTAGGTCAGTTTTGGGCTGCAAGGCCATGAAGCCATTTTTTCCATGCCTATGACATGTTATTTCTAAGTACCAATGGTCCCTTTAATTTTGTCATGCCTAAATATATAAAATTTCGCCTCTCTCATTAATCCTCCGACTGAATGCAATTTTTACGCTCGCTAGGCATGTTCAATTGAAAATCATGGCCATACACTCATTCAAAACAAAATGCTATCAAATTTTAGTTTCCAAGCCCTTGTTACCTTTTAGCTTACTTTCAAGAGCGGCGTGTATCAGATTATAATTTGAGAGGCTACAACAAACTGGAAATACCGCATGTTAAGACTGCTACCTATGCATATGGTTTGCGATCGTATAGATACTTTGCTCCTCATACCTGAAATAACCTGGTAATAATCAGAATGTGGTTACTTTTAAACGCAGTGTCATAGATTATATTTATTAAGAGTTGTCGATTTGTATATCTTAATGCTATTTTGTTTTGTTATTTCTTGTATCAGTGTATCAGTGTAGCCAAGTATAAATTTAAAGCAGTTAGGTCCTTTTAAAGCTTTAGATCTTTGCCGGTTTTCATATTATGGAGTTCGGAGATACTAGACTATGTGCTAGTCAACAATCCGAAGTAAAATAAAGTTATGAATGAATGAATGAACCCATGATTAATCAACTTCACTTCCTTATATTTTTTTTTTGACAAAGGCTATTTTTCGAATTAATAGTAAGAAAAAAGGTCATGTTGCACTTTTTCAAAACATGCTAAAACCGGCTCGAGTTCCTTCAAGAGATTTTTTAATTCTTGAACAACGCAGACAAGATAATTTTCAGTCCGACGATTAAAACAGTAAAATATTTAGCTAGGGCTAAAAGCGAAGCTCTTGATAATATTTATAGTTTCTTCAAACAAAATACCAAATCGTGTACTGCTACGCGGCGAAGGCAACGCCGGAAAACGGTGAAAAACAACAGTAAGTCTAATTAGTAAAAAAAGTAACTTTGCACGTGTAGCACACTTTTTTGTACATTTTTTGCCGTTGTTTTGCACGACTACAATGTGAAACTTCCAGAAACGTTTTAGTTACACGTTTTTGGGAGGAAATGTCGTACGTGTTCTAGTTCACTTTTTTTTTTCACTGCCGCTCATTTTCACGTTGCATTGGTGGCCGCTATCATTTCTCATTTTGTCACCGCCGCTACAAAATTTTCATGCTGTTCTTCCAACAAAAAAATGTCTACTTTTTTTTATCTCTCACGCTAGATCTCTGTCGCCCTTTTTCTCTTTGAGCTTCGCTGATCTGCCCCTTATTTTCTCAACTTCTCTGTCTTTCTCTTGCTCTATATTCCAAATTTGTGGACATGACAGTTAATCTAAGCTTAATACTTTAGACAACATGAGTACACAAACAATTTCCGCTTTCCGTTTTCGTCTTTATTGACCCTTTACGACCTTTAGTTGTCTCTGCTTTACAATGCGATTTCCCGCCAAAATAACCTCGAGTTGCATTTGGATTGCAATACCTGTTGATTGAGTTATTTTACATTGGTATGCCTGTGATGCGGACGGTCGTTCCTTGAGGCGGTCGGTGTACGGTCAAGTGATAGCCAAATTTTCTGGGATGGGTGGATTTACTTACCCATAATGCTCCGCTGGCACGCACGAGAGCTCCGCTAACATCAGTGCACTGAAACACGCATCTGAAGACGTTTACTTTCTTGTCTTGACAGAGTTCAAAGTCGTTAAAACGAATCTCATGGAAAGAGAATATACGATAAATAAAGTTTATTACTATTGCTATGGAATTATTAACATTACGAGAGCGTGGTTGATTACAAAGTGCAATGGACAGTTATTACAAACTGCGAAAACTTTTTTATTTCAAAGTGCGACAGAGTTTACTACAATTTACGACGACACGTATTACAAAGTGCGATGATTGTTACAAATTGCGACAGTACACATTGGTTACCTTATTTTGTAAATCATATACAAATTCATAAATATCTCACTGCTTATCCAACAATAGTTCAATATCCTTCTTGCATACTTATTAGCATTTAGTTATGGGAAGTCACCCCAAACGAGCAAGCTCGATGGGGAAGACACGTAGGTGCTAATAAAGTAAGCAGAAGGGGCGGGTGGGTGGGGGCGACTCCAACTAAAGTTAGTCAAACTGACAACTGTGAATAATTAACACATGCTTATATACTATGCGCGAAGTCTAATGAATATTAATAAGGTATAAATAGTTCAATATCCTTCTTGCATACTTATTAGCATTTAGTTATGGGAAGTCACCCTATCGCTGTAGAATCCCCTACAGAATCCTAACATAAACACCATGATGAACTCTTATCCTTCCCAATCCTTAACTAAATTGAACTCTCCCAACCCTAACTAATCCCCAAACCCATACAACAATATCTTAACAAATCGCCACAAGTCGATGAGGGTTGTCCAATACTCACCACTTGTTCAAGTTGTGAAACTCGTGGTGTGTGTGTTTCTGTGTGCTTCAACTTGTACGAAGGGTAAAAGTGGTTAGATCAGCCTTTCAATTAAGGCGATTGGTACTAGTGGTAGCTAGTGGTGAATGGGTGATAGTTCCATGTGATATCTTGAGGTATCACATAAAGTTAAGCTGCATCTCACTTACAAGTGCAATTGGAGAACACGCATCTCATTAGCGACACAAAGAATTGGTTGGCAAAGTTGTTGTGAGGGGGCCCTTTCAAGTGGTACGACTCGTTCTCTCTGCTAGAGAGAGGTTACATGGGATCTCACACGTACGACCCTTTCAGAAATAGATTTTGAGACAGAAAACTAGCCCTTCGACATAAAAGAGAAATCTACGAATCGTGCCTTTTGTGAGTCACACAATACCGTCACACTAAGTGCCTAACCTAAAGCAAAGTCTCGTGAGAAACTAGCATTGAATATAACAACAACCATTACTGAACGAAATTTGCAAGAGTCCGCCCCTCATATCGTACAAAGGAGGACAGTTGGTCAAAGACATACCGGCATGGGAGCCAAACTATGAAAAGGCTAAAGCACGCCTCGGGCACGGGGAGTCATGCAGGCCAGTCAACGCCCTTTTACCCCTGTCACACGGTATTTTACGTATTAGTATTTACGCAATCATTTTAACGCGTCGGCGGCCTCAGCATGCTTAGGTGCGCGATCTAATTTAATGAAGTGAGGCGCATTGGATTATGGAACGGGGACCACCAACCCATGGGATCCTTGTTACCTTTGTCCTAGCATTGCAGGAGAAATTATATATGTAGTTTCTAAATCGCGTAAGGGTGGCCCCCGGTTAGCCTAGGCTCGTACGGGACTATTGTAGATGGAAATTTTGTGCGCGATCTATTTTGATTGAAAGGGGCAGGATAACCTCCAACAAACCCAATGCAGATCTGCACTACAATAATCACACAGAGAGGGCAGAGTCTGCTTGACACCAGGGAACAAGTGATGTTTCTAGTAATAGTGTAATATTACAGGTACATCCGATGTTACAGCCAAATGTAAGATCTTTAGGAAGCAACCGGTGTCGGTTGTCTGAGTCGACCCCAAACTCCCCCCCATCACCAGCAAATAAGCTGAGAGTGC